TGTGTGTGTGTGTGTGTGTGTGTGTGTGTGTGTATGAGTGTTTGTGTTTTGGTGGGGAGAAGGTGTGGTAAGGTAGTTTGTGGATGCTGTGGTGTGGTTTGATCTTTCTTTCCTATCAAATAACTATCGTCCTTATCTCTCCTCCTTTGTTACTCTCTTGTAAAACCTCTTATCTTCGGCACTTATATGTCCAAATTGTGTTGCAAGTGCCGGAAAACGCTTACCAAAACAGTAACAACGACAACAACAACAACAACAACAACAACAACAACAACAACAACAACAACAACAACAACAACAACAAAACTCTTTAAACAGACAATATAATAACAAAAAGAATTAAATTTTTTTTAAAAACGGCGTAGTTCTTTGATTCTTAAACTCCAATCCCAACCTGGCGGGCTCATATGACCTTAATTATTATGCAACTGTTGTAAGCGTCGTAAAATACTTTCTCTAACACCCCCCCCCCCCCCCAAAAAAAAACAACAACAAAAAAAAAACAACAACAACAACAACAACAAACAAACAAACTAAAAAAACTATTATAAAACCCCAAAATCCCAAACCCACCGCTGACCCGTGTCTGTGTTTTGTCTCGTCCACAGAATTAGACAAGAGATAGAAGGCGGCGCCTGGTGTCCGCGGCGGCAGATCAAAGAGAACGTCTACGAGTACCTGCAGATTGACCTGTCCCGGCTCTCCGTTATCACCAAGGTGGAGACTCAGGGCCGCTTTGGGAACGGACAGGTGAGAGTGAGAGGGATTACTGGTCTCTTCTTGTTTTTTTTTGTTTTTTTGTCTCTTCTCTTGTTTGTGTGTTTGTTTGTTTGTTTGTTAATTTGATTGTTTTAGTTACTAGTACAGGGTTTTACGGCGCTCGCAACTGCATAAGGTCAGATGATTTTTTGGTATTTTTGTTTTGCTTTTTGGTTGTATTGTCTACTTTCTTTTGATCTTAGAAGATTTATGAGTGTTTGTTTCGTTTTCGTACCTCTTTTCTTTTGAATACGTGTGTAGGTTGTTTTTGTTTTTCGTATTATCTCTCGCTTGAATTTTATTATCTATCTATTATCTTTTCGCTCGGATTTTAGATAATTGTTTGTTTGTGTTTTTTGTTGACTGTTCATTTGCTTGTTTGTGAGTGTGTTTATATGTTATGTGTGTATGTTTTTGTGTGTTTGTGTGTACATCAATAAGTGCGCGCGCGCGTGTGCGTGCGAGTGTGTGTGTGTGTGTTTGGGATTGTGTACGTATGTATGTTTGTACATGTGTTTGTGAGTTTTGACACTACGTGTGGATTGTTTATTTCATTCGAACGTTGGAAATGCGATATAATAATTTCAGTTTTCTCAATGTAACGACTTATTTTGCCCCTTTAAAAACATAGAAACAAGTGACATCGCATTTTTTATTCCGTGCCCATGTGTAGCAATTATATTTGTGGACCTTTTAAAAAACGACAATCATATCCCTTTGACAATCATATCCCTTTGACAATCATATCCCTTTGACAATCACATCATTTTAATTACCTTCACTTTTACTTTCTTTTTTTCTTTTTCTCTTGGAAATGGAGATCGCCGGAAATGTTTTCGTACGCTTACGGTAATTACTTCCGCCCGGAAATGACGCATATTTCTGGTGTTTTCAACGTAATTCTATATCTGTTTCTGGTTTGTCATTGAGGAGAGTGGGGGGTTTTGTGTGTGTGTTTTTGAAAAAAAAAAAAGAAGGAATTCTGAGATCACGCGCTTGTCTGTGTTAGGATATTGTACATTCTCCTTTTCAATGAGGCAAGATGTTGGGAATCTTTGTCGGACTAGGAAATAGAGGCCAGAGACTCGCCGTTGGTGCCATTCAGGGCTACAGAGTGGATAGTATTGGTTCAAATCCCAAATGTGGCATTCTAAGTTTGGGTTGTTTTGGGAAGTTTTTAAGGCTCTCCATTCCACCCGTTTAGATTTGATCTTATCAGAGACTGGGAAATAAATAATAATAGATAATAATAATAATAAATAGCATTTGTATAGCGCATATCCCTGCTCAACAGCAGGCTCTGTGCGCTTTACACTATATTATTACCCCAGCAGACCATAGAACACTCCGAAATATTCTCAGCTTCCCGGGAAGCATACAGTGCAAACAGCTGATTAAGCGCTCAAACACTAACAAACTGACAAGATCTTTCGCTGTCTATAGCCGGGTACCCATTCCAGCCTGGGTGAAGTGAGGAAATTTCGTGTAAAGTGCCTTCCCCAAGGACACAACGTCAGGCCCTTGATGGGATTCGAACCCACGACCTTACGTTTGCGAGTCCGAGAGCCTAACCACTAGGCCACCGACGCCACAGAAATCAGTGGTCTCGCCTCATAAGTAACTTTACTGTGTTAGAAGGAGCATTACAACTATCAAATTTATAGATGTGGCGAAGGTG